TCTGATGTTGTGACCCAGTTGCACATAGAGACAGAGAAGGATCAAAATATCACAGGGCCACAAACAGGTTATCAGTTTGGGGTCCCTTTAGTTATTCATATAGAGATTGTGAATTGGTCTCAGCAAATATTAGTTTTACCCCACCATTGTATGTCTTTTTTATTTTTTATTCCATATGCTTATTTTGCTTTTTGAAATGAAAGATGTATAATAACTTTAATTTTTCATATTTTGAAAGCATAATAATTATATTATCAACATGATTAGTACCTAATTTAGTTTCTATTATATGCTTTAACAATTTGTCCAAATCGTCTATATTTTATTTTAATTCTTTTTTACATTTTTGTAATTCCAAAGCAGGCATTACAATTCCTTTCAGTTGTTTGATCTGCCAATATGGAGTGGCGAATGCTATTTTCCTTTTGCAAATAATTTTGCCTTTGTCAGACTTTGATTTACCTGGTCTTTTCTGTCTGTGCTGTATTATAACAGCTTCTTGTGTTTGCTTGGATCCCAGGGTACCAGACAACCTTTGGGCTTCTAACCTACTGTTCCTGGACCTCCTGCTTTTCCGATGGAAGGACAAGCTTTAGCATTTCATGTGGCATTTTCCTTTAGGCACTAATTGGTGCTTTGGTGCTTCATCAAGCTTCTATGTCATCCAGATACACGACCAGCCACATGGGCAGTTGGGGCATGTGGCTGGTCGTCTATCTGTATGACATTCTGGTGATGGGCAAGTATCATTTGCTGTACATGGTTGCCAATTGATTCACCTGTGCCGAATTATGGTTTATAAATTGCTCATGTTCTCTGTTTTTCAGATCGTGTGAGTATGGTTTGGGGGTGGTGCTTATGGTTAGTCTGCCTGTGTGTGCGTGACTGTCTTCCTGAGTGTGACTATCTGCCTGTGTGTGACTTTAACTGTGTGTGTGTGACTGTAACTATGTGTGTGGCTGTAGCTGTGTCTTTGTGTGTGCCTGTTCCTGTATGTGTGACTGCAACTGTATGTGACTTCAACTGTGTGTATGACTGTCTGCCTTTAACTGAGTGTGTGTGCCTATCTGTGTGCATGAGTGTCTGCCTGCCTGTAACCGAGTGTGTGTGACTGTCTGCTTGTAATTGAGTGTGTGACTGTTTGCTTCTCACTGTGTGTGTGACTTTGTGTCTGTAACTGTGTGTGACTGATTGCCTGTGACTTTGTTTTTATCTCTGTGACTGTCTGCCTGTAACTGGGCATGCGTGACTGTCTGCCTGTAACTGTGTGTGTGTGTGAGAGACTGTCTGCCTTTAACTGAGTGTGTCTGACTGTCTGCTTGAAACTGTTTGTGTGATTGTCTGTCAGTACCAGTGTGTGTGTGACTGTATACAGGAAACTGAGTGTGTGTGTATGTGACTGTCTGCCTGTAACTGTGTATCACAGTATTATGTGACATACATAGTCTGCCCCCCTGTAATGCAGTGGTGGCAGTCTAGCTCATATGACCTGCACTTCTCTGCTGGCTGCAGACCATAAGTAGCTGCCTTCCGAGCTCCGACCAATCAGTGCATTGCCACAGATTACCAGAGGAAAACTCTGACACTATAAATGCCTGACAGTTACTCATAGTCTATACCTGGTGAAGGGGCAGACCAGATTCCCAGCACACTGGAACACCAGAGATCTGCATTCTCCCATCACTGCAAGGTATCTTCAGTGAAGGGGGAATGAATATTTGTTTTTAAATCTATACACACACACACATACGGATAAGGTGTATGACCGGGGAGGATGGTGGGGGGAAGCCGTGAAGACTTTTTGCAAAGGGCGCCTAATGGCCTAAGGCCGTCCCTGTCCTAGGGAACAGGTAAAAGAAAGTCAGGAAGAAGCAAATAGGTAAGGGCAGGCAGGATATAAAGTCAAGGGAAGAAGCAGAAAGTCATGTACCAGGTAATCACTGACGGTAATAGGATATAGCTCTGAAACAACTGAGCACTGAGCTAACAGGAATTTTATACCATGCACTGCAACTGCCCTCCTGGGTGGGGGCCAGATATGGCAATGGGGTGGCTACTATCCTCCCCTCTGCCCCTCCCCTGAGCGGTGGGTGGGGACCAGAAATCACAATGGGGAGACATACTGTCCTCCCCCCGGCTCCCATCCCTGCGCGTTGGGTGGGGGCCATAAAGATAATGAGGGGGGGGACCTACTGTCTTTCCCCCCCGGCCCCCACCCCTGCACGGTGGGTGGGGGCCAGAAATCACAATGGGGAGACCTACTTTCCTGCCCCCGGCTCCCACCCCTGCGCTTTGGGTGGGGGCCATAAAGATTATGAGGGGGGGACCTACTGTCTTTCCCCCCTGCCCCATCCCTGCACGGTGGGTGGGGTCCAGAAATCACAATGGGGGGACCTACTGTCCTCCCACCCGGCCCCCACCCCTGCGCATTGCGTGGGGGCCAGAAATCACAATGGGGGGTACCTACCCTGAGCGGTGGGGGCCATAAAGATAAGGAGGGGGGACCTATTGTCTGTAACTTTGTGTTTATCTCTGTGACTGTCTGCCTGTAACTGGGCATGCGTGACTGTCTGCCTGTAACTGTGTGTGTGTGTGTGTGAGAGACTGTCTGCCTTTAACTGAGTGTGTCTGACTGTCTGCTTGAAACTGTTTGTGTGATTGTCTGCCAGTACCAGTGTGTGTGTGACTGTATACAGGAAACTGAGTGTGTGTGTATGTGACTGTCTGCCTGTAACTGTGTATCACAGTATTATGTGACATACATAGTCTGCCCCCCTGTAATGCAGTGGTGGCAGTCTAGCTCATATGACCTGCACTTCTCTGCTGGCTGCAGACCATAAGTAGCTGCCTTCCGAGCTCCGACCAATCAGTGCATTGCCGCAGATTACCAGAGGAAAACTCTGACACTATAAATGCCTGACAGTTACTCATAGTCTATGCCCGGTGAAGGGGCAGACCAGATTCCCAGCACACTGGAACACCAGAGATCTGCATTCTCCCATCACTGCAAGGTATCTTCAGTGAAGGGGGAATGAATATTTGTTTTTAAATCATTATTAATTTAATAAATGCCCTATACAAACCTACACCCGTATACACACACACACATACGGATAAGGTGTATGACCGGGGAGGATGGTGGGGGGAAGCCGTGAAGACTTTTTGCAAAGGGCGCCTAATGGCCTAAGGCCGTCCCTGTCCTAGGGAACAGGTAAAAGAAAGTCAGGAAGAAGCAAATAGGTAAGGGCAGGCAGGATATAAAGTCAAGGGAAGAAGCAGAAAGTCATGTACCAGGTAATCACTGACGGTAATAGGATATAGCTCTGAAACAACTGAGCACTGAGCTAACAGGAATTTTATACCATGCACTGCAACTGCCCTCCTGGGTGGGGGCCAGATATGACAATGGGGTGGCTACTATCCTCCCCTCCGCCCCACCCCTGAGCGGTGGGTGGGGACCAGAAATCACAATGGGGAGACATACTGTCCTCCCCCCGGCTCCCATCCCTGCGCGTTTGCGAACAAACTCCCAAATTGCGTCCTAACACGAATGAACAAACTGTTCACATTGTGTAAGGATGCAATTCGTCAGTTTTGCCGGTTTTCTATCTAAGTGACAGGACGTTCGCCAATACTGACAGGAAGCATCGTGGGAACAGGGAGGAAAACTAAGGATTATGGGAAAATTGCTGTGACCACCGGAAACGAAGCACACTTTGCTCCTCCACTGGTCACCGCTGGTCATGGCAATGGAAGCCTCCATTAGAGAAATAGTCCCTACTTTGTCTTAATTTTTAAAGAAAACTAGAGCAGACAGGAAGAAATGAATAACAGATCCTGAGAGAGGGAGAGAAGAGAAATCGATTGGGGAAAGGTAAGTTCGGCATAACAGTGCCGCTTTAAGTCCCAGATGTGGTGCTCTTTAGCCCTGGATCTCAACAGTTGGCAAAGGGGCAAGTGGATATTGTGTTTTATTGCTTTGTTCTTTTTTTAATTTTACATCAGGTTGGAACTTCACAAACCAGCAGCATATTATAAAAATAAAGATTATTAATAGAATGCAACAGGCTACATGGCATGCAAGCTGGGGAGTTGGGGAACATAATTTTGCTGCACATCATTCTTTCCGGTAGAGTGGCAGTCAGATTGAATTTCTGGCTTTTCAGCATGTTTCTTGCTTGGCTTTCATTGAGATTCTAGAGACCATTAGCAGCACGCAGTTCATGAGTAGAGAAGATGGGACTTGACATAAAATGCAGGGAAATGCCATGCACTGTCCCCATCTCTGTCAGTGTAATGGTCATTGGATATTCCTTTGGGCCCCATGTGCTGTTCAAACCTAGCAACACCCCATATTCATCATATTGGATACAGCACAATGTGTGCTATTGTTATGAGAACAGTATTTAAATGCAATGGAGTGAAAGTTAAATACAGCATGGCTTGGGGTTACAACAACAATTCGGAGTTTATCAATATTGGTTATTGTACAACTATACATTTATGTAATATAAATTTAGCCCCATATAGTGAGTGCAGTTTAGTGGAAAGTGGCTTTGACAGTGCTAGGAGGCAGGCATGGGTAGATCTAAGGGAGGATTGGTAGGTTAGGTTGGGGGCTGGGAACATTTATATATATATATATATATATATATATATAACAAAAAACTATATCAGCTTGGCACTCTCCTTACTTTGAAAGGTAAAATAAACCACAATATTTTAGTGCCTAGGTGCAACCCGCGTTATATATATATGTGAACAGACAGGGGTGCACTCATAGGACTTGAAAAAGGACGACAATCAAATTCTTAAGGTGCAAAAAGTCTTCATTATATCCGTGAATACATCAACGTTTCGACCCCTAAGGGTCTTTTTCAAGATCACAGCATGTATAAAACAGTGGCAATATATACAGTATCAATTAATCAAGTAACTTACCAAACGTGTGAGAACATTGTTTAGGGACCCATTAGCCCGCGAAATCAGAAACCCGGAAGTGCTGTACGCCGCGATGACGTCATCACGTGGTGACGTCTCGCGGAATAAATTAGTGGTAACATTCCGCGAGACGTCACCACGTGATGACGTCATCGCGGCGTACAGCACTTCCGGGTTTCTGATTTCACGGGCTAATGGGTCCCTAAACAATGTTCTCACACGTTTGGTAAGTTACTTGATTAATTGATACTGTATTAATTTATACTGTATATATTGCCACTGTTTTATACATGCTGTGATCTTGAAAAAGACCCTTAGGGGTCGAAACGTTGATGTATTCACGGATATAATGAAGACTTTTTGCACCTTAAGAATTTGATTGTCGTCCTTTTTCAAGTCCTGTGAGTGCACCCCTGTCTGTTCACATATATATATATATATATATATATATATATTTGTAGTCAGGGACAATAAGCCGAGTTATAGTAGTGGTGGTACAAGTCGGTTGTGGAGTGCCGAAACCGACATTCAGGTAGGCCTGTAAAAGAGGGCCCACTAAGTGAATGCTTAATAAAGGGAGGGGTGGGTGGGCTGAACCAGGAAGTCTCGGCCAGAGGAAGGGGAGGCCTGTGAAATTATAGGCTGATAAACCCCTCCCACAACTACAGGCTCCATATATATATATATATGTATATATATATATATATGCAATACAGGGATGAAGGCACTCACTATTCTCTAATTGCTTTTCCAAATGGAATGATGTAATGCCTTGGTGCACCATGCTGGAACCAATATATATCCAAATATTTCAGCAAAGAAAAGTGGGCACTCGCAAGTCTTGTTTAGTGAAATAAATTAGCAAATTTATTATTGTAGCACTAATAAATTTGCTAACTTTTTTTCACTAAACAAGACCTGTGAGTGCCCACTTTTCTTTGCTGAAATATTTGGATATATATATCTATATATATATATTTAAGCAGCCATTTTAGTGGTAATCAATTTTAAACCCTTAAGGACACAACTTCTATGGGGATATGGTCTTTTAGTTAAGAAATAAGCAGGGGATAGTTAAAAACCAGTTGGCTAAAATAGGTTTGATTATACAGTAGATTATTGTGTTGGAAGGTTTCAAGGTGGCTCAGAACCTCGTTGGTGTGGGAGAGTCCAAGTATGTCCTCACCACTATTCTGTTAAGTAAAATGTTTTTGTACTTTGTTGGTTTATGTGTTATATTGTTATGTTATTAGTTATGCATGTTGTCATTGCCCTGTTTGTTACTTGGTTTATGTTCAAATATAATATGACAGGGGGTGGGGGGCAATGGCTTTTGTTTTGTTAGTTACACATATTTCTATATATATGTATTAAAGTTGTGGACAATTTTCCCCATACCTGAGTAGTGTTTGTTTCTTATTCGGGGGATGGGATTATTGTTAGAGGTTTCAGATCCATCTGCCCTCATGGCGACACTGCACCTGTCATGTAATCAAAGATTTGGTGTCATCATGTATTTAATAAAATGTATTTAATAAAATGTATTAGACTTGGACTTAGGGCATGGTACGGGGCTGGTTTTAGAAATGGCTTAAGTCAATATATGCAGGAAGGGCTATAAAATTTGATATTGGCCTGATGTTATTGCCACCTAGCAATGCTCCTGGGCAGGAGATGGCTGGCTACGGGTCAAATAAAAACAAATTGGTTAATCTGAGGCCAAACCAACCTCTCTTGCACAATTGTATGTACAATTTTTATATTATTTCAACAACTGGAATAATATTAAAAAATAATAATGCAATAACAAAAAATAAAAGATTTGCGGTGAGGCAGCAGACCACAAATATTCTGTGCTGGTAGTCCGAGGGCAAATGCCTCCCTTGCTAGCCCCACGTCCCCTGGGAATGAGACAAGGACAACGTCAATCATATTGACACATGTATGGGCTCTGTATAACTTTAAACATTTGTATAGAACGTAAAACTGCAAACTTGTATGTACGTAATGGGGAATTTTCCGATGCTATCTTATACATAAATGAACCCCATTAAACCCTCCCAATAACGACAGACAACTTAGTATGGATGAAACAGGCCACAGCATTTATTATAACATAAATAAATAAATACTGCATAACACATCCATAACTTTATTTATCCAAAATCTTCTTTCTGTAACCAAAATTGTTAAACATAAATACGCATAAATTAACATATATACATATATAACAACACACAGTGTTATACAGTAACCCAACCGTCCTTGCCAATAAACATACATTGGTTCCTAATCACTACATCCTCTCCCCTCGTCATAAATCATACCATTCCAATGCCCGCCATCAGCCAACCTTATCCACGCTCAATGGGCACGATACCTCAGGCAACTTAAAGTTAACCGTTTAAAGCAGGGAGGGTGAGAGACTTGCCAACTTATTAACTCACTCCAACCATAAAAACATAACCACACAAACTTAATTGGCAAGGACATACCCCCGCCACCAGACCCGCTGTTTTACCCCCTAAAATCAGCGGGACACCCCACCAAAACCACCCATGGCCTGTTCCACCACATCCTGCAGGGCGAGATTGAAAAGGTCGAGCCCGACCTCCGTGAGGTGAACACCATCTGCCCGAAAAAAATTGCCCGCCTCAAGTTCAAAAACCCTGTGGCGGACCGGTATCCCCCGAACCCCCAAAACAAACTGGGAAACCCGCATGTTTAACTTGCGGCGGCACAGCTCCATAGCACTCTGGCTCCGGGCACCCCACCAGTAGTTACGTGCAATGACCTCAGACCATACCAACCGCACATTGAGGAACAAAACTAAAATGTGGGCTAAATCCCGCTTGACAGCCGAAATCAAGTCCCAAATGGGAACGGAACCCAGGTCATTCCCCCCAAGTTGGATCACCAGGACACTCGGTACCCCCAGGAGAAGGGACAGCTGCACCAACTCCGGGAGTAGCCGAACCCACCTCATACCTCTCGAACCAAGCCACCTGACCTCAGCGTCGGAAGGCGTGAAACCTAACTGCTCACCTCCAGGCCGAATCGCAGCACGCTGCCCAGCCCAGTAGACATATGAGTGTCCGATGATCCAGATCCCGGTGGGGGGCGAATCTGCGGAAAGAAATTATGTCAATAGACCCGCTGGACAAATATAAGAAACAGAGCATCTCGAATCCCACCTCCCAAACCTCTGCACCACCTGCGCTGGCATGCCAAGCCTTGAGGCCTCAGTGGGTGCCCCAATACGAAAAGAATGCCCTCCAAACTCCTTGCTTTCCAAACCCAGGGATTCCAAACCCAAACGAAACACCCTGAGAAACTGGAAATGGGAAAGAAAACTACCACCCTTATGCACCAGTAGGGGCAGCGCAGGAGAGGGGCGCAAAGTAAAATACTCCCTGAAGGACAAAACAGGACAAACGCCAGAGCCCGGCACCGCCCTCAGTCGAACCCATTTACCTTTCCCCAAGACATCCGTCTTCGAGTGGCGAATCTTGAAAGCAATCTGCACCGCAGAGCAAGAAACATCCCCGAATAGCACCCCCCCTACCAGCCGCCGACTGGGGCACACCAGCTCCCCAATCCGCATGGCCCCAAAGAACGCCAGGGAGAAAGCCAAGCAAAAGAGCTGAGACTCGAATTCCGAATGACTCGCCCGCAGTCCCATTAGCCCTGACCGCCATGGATCCCAGGGAGGGTGAACCCCTACCCACAACTTCAAGGGGGGCAGAAAGGGAAGGAGACTGAACAACCGCGGGGAGCAGCGCGGGGGACCAAACTGACCGCAGCTGACTGTCTAAAGAGGTGTGCCACTACCCGCCGCCCCCCGCTCCCAGTGATCAAAAAAACCCCGAAGACCTGAAAGGAACCCCCCCAGCCCAACCCCCGAAACATTAAGAGAAGAGGGAAAACAGTACGCGATCCGAACCCAAAACTGCACGCAAAGAAGGCTGAGGAACCAAAAGTTGAGATCCAGCATCCACAGAAGGCATCTGCTGTGTTCCAGGCGCCATCTGCTGGACAGAGCCACGAACTGCCACCAGGTCCTGAGAAGAGAGCCCCATCTGTGATCCAGGCACCACCTGCTGGACGGAGCCATGAACTGCAGACAGGACCTGAGAAGAAGCTGAGAGCCCACGCCCTAGAGGAGGTGGCCGAGGTAAGAGACCTGCAGGGGGCCCAGGCAAGGTAGAGGGAGGGGGAGAGAACAGGGGGGACTAGACAGAGTAGGACAGGTACCTAGAAAGGGGGAGTAGGAGAAAGGGGGGACAAGAAAGAAGAAGATGGGAATAGCAGAGAGAGAAAGGGGGGGGGAGGGGAGGACACAGAGGGAGATAGAGACACAGGGGGCCCAGCCAGAGACAAGCTGAGCCCCCCAGGAGACCCCACAGCTGGAGACCGGGGAAAGGGGGAGGGTGCAGGGGACCCAGCATACTGGGAGCCTTCCTCACTGGCAGAGGAGGCTCCCGACCCACAGGGGACTCCCCTGCTCCCCAGATGGCGGTACCGGGGTACCCCGCGCAGCCCCACACACCATCGAAGCACCATCAACCCCCCGCCCATTGCCCGGATTGATCCGCCAGCCTCCTACAGCCCCCGGCCCGCGGAGCGCCGCAGGTGGCCGGGGCAGGATGCAGGGGGGCCAGCTGGCTGCATGACAAGGGGAGGCCTCACCTCAGGCCTCCCAGTAGTAGGCCACGCCACATGCGTGGCCGCGGAAGGCCGCAAATCCTGGCCTTTAGTAGCTGGAAACCCCAGACACGCGGTCCTATTGGTGAATCAGGCCTGGGCTCCCAGTCCTCAACCGGGCCCGAGGAGTGTTCTCAGTGGAGAGCCTGGCAGGCGGGCGGGAACGCCTGACAGTGCTGGTGCACCCCCCAGGGGCAGGGGCCGCATGGGAGGCAGCAGGGGAGACCACAGGGGTTTCTCCAGGTCGGGTATGCCGCGGGGGGAGGGGCCCCACCGGCAGCCATACCTCCACTAATGTGTCCAAATTGCTCCCTCAGTTGCCGGCCACCATTCAACGCTGCAGCAGCCCTGAGGGACGCCAGGATCGCCTCAATATCCATCCCTCAAGCTGAGAAGACTACAGGCCCAGGCAAACAGAAGCAGGAGGACGAGAAGAAGCTGTCTGCTGGCCCGGTTCCCAAGT